CTTAGTGCGCACACCTTTGTGTTGTTTGGATTATTCAGCTACTAACTCAGAGGTGGTAAAAATTCACAGCTCTGAGAGCCACTGTGCAGAGTACTTAGCAAACTGTGCTTCCAAAAGCACTTCTTGGCTTTTCAATAGCATGAGAAGACAAAGGCCCCCTGAAACTCCTTCCATTCTGTGTGTACGATCAGGGTGGGCAAGTGTCCTCAGTGCACCCCATAACAGGTAGGCTTCAGCAGCAGCACCATTAAATTGTCCAATAGCTTCGTATAACAAGGCTTGAAACATTCTATCTCTGGCACTTGCAGTGCCTGCAGGCTGATAACCTTTGGGCTCGGAGCCATGGCCTTATGGATCCAAGACAGAGTGACAAAGAGACAAAGAACATTTCACAGCACTTTCTCTGTGAGGGTGAAATAGCAGCTTACAAACCAACTGGCAATTTCATGGAAAACAACTGATTTTCTCTTTAGGTGGCATACAGGGAAAGCACTTCTCTCTCGACCTGTGATCAAGGGAAGTGGAAGATGAGGGAAGCAAAACAAAATCAGTTTCTTTTCTATGAGGCTATTTCTCCATACGCAGCTCTAAACTTTCAGGCCAAATAAAGGAAAATTTCAGGCTAGCCTAAGGAAGAACATGGAAGCTCCTGCAAAAAAATCTCCCTTTGGAAAGAGGTAGTGCAATCTGAGAATAAACCAGTGGACAAAAATGCCTTTCTTGCTCATTGCAGAGAAAGGCATCATGATTTTGAACTATACACCTGTCCTGGTTAGAACGGCTGGGACCAATTCATCACTGGATGGGTGTAACCCAAAACTGTGTATTCTGTAGCCTTCCATGCCATGTCCCAGAAACTGTTGTCAGTAGAGGCCTATGTTCCTGTCCTCATACCCTTTTATGGAATTCCCCCCTCTGATACCCTTTTATGGAATTCTCCCCTCTGAGGGAGGGACTGAGCATCCTCATGCCCTTTTATGGAATTCCCCGCTCTGAGGGAGGGACTGAGAACTCCCGCCTGAACTGAAGAATATATAAACTGGGAGTTTCGGAACCTTTCCACCTCTCATGGGATCCAGAGGAAGACTGCAGACCACTGCTCTCAACCAGACTGCAGCTCACCGATCTCAACCAGACTGAGACCACCACCCTCGACTGGACTGCAATCACCACTTTCTGACCAGACTGCAGCAGCTCTCCCACCAGCAGGTCTTTCCCCTCTCCCTTTACTTTGGACTCGGGGGGGGGGGGCAAGGAACACCACTTTTGTTCATACCCCAGGGTGTTGGGTTATACATTTGGGTTTTGCGGGTTAAAACTACTTGTCTGTCTGTATAATTGTACTTATTGTATTATTTTAATAAATTGTTATTCTGACTTATAATCTCTCTTTTGAGTTGAGTTCATTTCCCCTGCTGGTTAACTTTTAAACCAGCACAACACCATGTGATAAATCTTTCATTGTCCACTGTCAGATTTTCATGCATATTTAGTGTGGTGCTGGGCAGTCGCATATTAAGCAAGACTGAGGCAGCAAAACTGTAATTTGTGCTGCAAGCTCATTACTGCAAGGAGCAACAAAAGGTTTCATGCAGTATTTGGTGAGAATCTGTGGAACATCACTTTCAGAGAGGCCACATGCAGAAAAGACTCTGCTTCAGCAATGTTAATATTTCCTCTTGATCTTCTAGAAATAAAAAAAGAAACTTTTATAAAATTACTATCTTGTCTATGAAGATTAGTCATACTGCTTTTTGTATCAGGTTGCCAAGGGACCCTCTGCAAGGTTTTGAGTACCTGGAAAAACCCATGTTTTTAAAGGTTTTGTACTACTTAGAAAGGAAATGAGGAAGCAGATGAAAACAGACAGATGAAAACTTGACTTAGCTGACTTTAAGACTGTGTCACCCAGGGAAATGTGAAGCAAACTATATAGCACAACTTTAATGATATGAAATTGGTTTAATTCAATTTTTTGTTGTTTTGCCTCCCCTTGCAGTCCTGCCCCTTCCAAAACCCCCAACCTGGATTTGTGCATAATTTGACTTCGGTATGTACAGCTTATGCCAGATGATTTTACACACAGGAATTTGAGAAGCAGCAATAAGCACCACAGCACAGAAGGCTCCATCTCCAGCGTAAACTCATTAGATTACAGCAAATAATTCAAGCCATTTTCTGCATTCACACTGAAAACTGCACTCGTTTCCTCAGCTGACTGTCTCTTCTGGGTTCTGTTCTAGTGCTCAAAGTTACTGCCATGAAAGGGAACATTAATTTAACCCCCAAATGAAATTATTCACAAGCGGTGATTTTCAATTCATCACGGGCAGTAGCTAGGTGTCACTGCAATCAAAGAAAGTAAGAATGTACCTCAGGTCTTCAGCATTCAAACAAATGAGTCCATGGCTCATCAACCATTCACACAGGTGGGACCCCATATGTAGTAGCCTATTGGAATGAGGGAAGTGAGACAGAGAGAACTAGGATATTATCATGGACTTTGATGCTGCTGGAAATCTTCCTTGTGATGCCCACTCCAGTGGGCACATTCACACTTACCACACACACACTTCTGTAAAACCAGGAGAAGATGTGTGAAGAAGAGTGCACCAACAGAATGGCTGGGGACTGAACCAGCGTGATGGCCTTCCCCAGGTCATATCACACATCTTTCTGGGTACTGCATGAGGTAAGTCAGCAGGCTGCAATTATTCAGACACTACCAGTCCTAATGTACCCCTTTCCTACCTGATACCACAACTTGGCTGTACATACTCCTCAGGAAGAGCTGCCATCTGTCTATCTGTTTTGCTGCCACTTCAGGAACAGCAGAATTGCACCAACTGAAAAGAATTCTTTTTCTGGTGTGATAGCATTAAGGCTACATGCAATCAACTTAAATTCCTCCCCCAGAGGAATTCCTCCCCTCCTCCATGCTGTCTCCAAAACCAGTAAATACTCAAGACCAAGGTCAGCATTTATGCATGGTTTTACAGCTGCTAAATGTCCTTAAGCATGTCATATAAATAAATCATACTATGCTATGCTACATGCTAAGGTGTGCAACAGAGCAGGGCAATTTGCTGCAGGTGAGAGATGCTCATTAAAGGCAATTAATAAGCACTACCTGTGCACTGAAGGGCACAGGAGCTAATTATTAGAAGACATTGTATACAACTAATGCTTACAGTTAGGAAACTGAGGCACTCCTCACACGAAATCTCAAGGAGATGGGGGAATGATGTAAATCAGGAGAATGATCCAAGCCAAGTGATAGCTACAGACACAGCACTGCTAAAATTAATGAATCCCACCACTGTCCTCACTGTGGTTATTGGACTTCTCTATTAGCCAGACTGTATGAGGCACTCTAGAACGGGGCCAGCGATTTCCTTTAAATAGTAAGTATGCTGGCATTACAGGAGAGCCCCGTGTGCAGGGCTGGCACCAGCCTGCCAGTGCAAAACCTCTGGCTGGGCGTGTTAGGCTCACGGCTGCCGGGCATCGTGGAGGCAGTTGGGTTACACGGGTCAGACCCCCTCACAGTTTACATCCTGATCAGTTTTCTTCCAATCATAGAATCATTAAGGTTGGAAAAGACCTCTAAGATCATCAAAGTCCTCTAGGACTTCCAGAATTCTGTAAGGAAATAGTAAGGAAGGCAGAATTTTTACATGCAAACTCTAGTAATCCCTTCAGTTTACCGGAATAATATTTGTTAAATGCTAACAGAATAAAAGACATTTTCTACATGAAGTGAAAATGGTAAACAAAAATGTTTATTGGTCTCATATAATAACAGAGCAATGGTACATAAAAGTATTGTATTTGAAGAGAAATAAACTCTCCTTGTTTATCATCAATGACTGCAATTATGTTGTCAAGTGATAGACGAGTGTTTTGATTTCCTCTTCCTGATGTCTTTTTACTTTCAACTTATATTGTAAGCTTGACACTGTTTATACATGTACTACTACAGAACCACTGAGAGGGGTTATTATTGAAGAGAATTCATTTTTCAGAGCAGTCATGCCACGAAGCCACAGATACAGCTAAAGCTTAACCCTACATCCTCCTCCAAAGGAGCATATTAGTGATGTTAAAACCACCCCACTAACCCGAACAATCAGAACAGCCTAAGGAGGGTGTACCGAGCTCCTGGACATGCAAACCCCAGCTCAGCGCCTCACCCACACCACCACACAGTGAGGACACAGAACTCACTGCTAGAGTGAGTCCAGAGAAAGGCCACAAAGATGCTTAGAGGGCTGGAGCACCATGGAGCACTACGGAGATGGGCTGAGAGAGCTGAGGTTGTTCAGCCTGAAGATGAGAAGTCTCTGGGGAGATCTCATAGCAGTCTTCACAAGTTATGGCAGTGGTAATAGAGCTTGCCAACAATTACTTCCTCAGCCAGACTGCAACATAGGTAGGATGTTGTCCTACAGGATTCAGACTCCTGGTTACACGTTCAGGTCCTTCTTCTTTAATAATGTACAGGTAATATGGAATAAGAACTTATTTTTATTGTTGCTGTTCTTGCTTGCCTGAGCAAATGTTGCCTGACGGCTCTAAACTTTCATTACTCAAGACACAGCAACAAAACACACAGGTACCTACTTGCAACAGAGCCAAACTGAAAGTTTGCCTTTTCAGTAAAGTTAACACATCCTTTTGCATGAGAAACTGCTGGCTTATCTGAGACATGAGGACCGGATATTTGCCTAATTTTATCTGCTTTTATTGGACTCTTAAAAGCACATCTGCTCGATTAGCCACAACCTTCAGCCACATTGAAGAACAATACTCAGCTCCAGCACCTTTGATAATGTCTAAAAATAGTTCATCAAGCACCCTTTTCTAAGAACAAATTTGTAGGTGGGCTTAAAGCATTTGGTGCCATTACACTTCTGAACGATTTTGCTCCTTGAAATAAATTCAGCCTGCCTTTCTCCTGTTCCAAGTCCCTTCGTTAGTCAGGAAAGCAGTAAACAGAGATGGGGAGTATAAGGAAAATTAAATACAAAACACTATAAGCCTTTCAGTGCCTGATGGAAGAACAGGTCTAATGGATGTTTATGTTCCAATCTATATTGCACTACTCTGAGCTCACATCAACAGATCTTACCCATTTCACTGCATTTGCTCTACTGAAAATACTTACCTTTGGGACATCAGTCTTTACTTGAGCTATGACAGCTCTTGTCTTTGGTGTTCAAGCACTCTTGATAAACAAAGATGGAAAAGGTTTCACTTGCACATCTCAACAAAAAAGGGACCTGAATAAGCAGCATCTGAAAAAATCATATGGCTCACACCCATCATGCATTTCAAATGCAAAACTGCAAAGACTACTCTGATAGTATATATGTTTCAATAGAAATTTTAAAACGGAACAAAGGGAAGGCAACATTAAGTACAGAATTCCCTGAATGACTGCAGTCATCTCCTGGACAACGAATCTAAAAAGTAACGTGATCAGATCATTGGAATGCCACTGTTTATGCCAAAAAGGGAGACGTTATTCTCTTACCAAAGAAACTGGAATTGAAGTAGGTTGTCAATTTTCTCCTCACACTGAAATAATACCTGATACAGAGCTCACCTTAATTTACTTTTATAAACCTGTGGCTCCCTTTGAGCTCACATTTGATTCTTTGGACTTTGCAAGGCATATGCTGAAAGCAAACCCAAAATACAACTAGTCACAGGAAAGGATCCCACATCTAGGATATTCTGGCTGAGAAACAAAATAGGAAAAGATATCTCTCTGTATGGTCATCTCTGTCATAGCCCAGGATCAATTACCAAGTAAAACAAAAAGCCAACAAAAAAGTTCCTCAAGGAAAGCATATGTGTGTCAGAATTATCCCCTAAACCAGAGCAGAACAGTGGGCTACATATCTGGACACTCCCTGATTTATGTGTGTTCCACAACAAGCAAACTTGAAAAGCTGTAACTTTTAAAATTTATTTTGCAATCAGGAAATTGGAAACCAATCTCCTCCTCAGGAAACAGCAACTATCTGAAGCAGGTGAGAGGTGTCACTCAGTACTATCTCAGCCAAAACGCAACACCCCACTTGGTATTTGCTACCTGCTTTTTGCATCACGTGTGCTCTGTGTGTGTTGTCTGCACTTGCAGAACCAGTGTGACTTATGGGAAGGGGAAGCACGAAGGGGCTGCTGTTTCTTCAGCATTCTGGTGCACTTATTTGAATCACATTTTATATCGGACTGAATTGAGCAAAGAGGATATCCTACAATGCAGATATACAGCAGTTCATATTTCCATACCACAGTCTCTAATGATCACTCCCAGTCTACTACAAGTCAGCAGCTAACACAGAGCCTTTGTAAGATGGCATGTGGTTTCTTCAAGCAATCACAAAAGAAAATAAAACATCTTCAGTGACTGGAAGTTACCACAAAGGTACGGATGTCACCTTTTAAATTGGGTAGTATTAGTAAGGTTTTGAGAAATCTCATTTACTTTAGGTATTTGATGTCTTGTGATGAAGCTGCAAAGATGAGTAGACAGCACTGCCACAGTATTAATGGTAATTTGTATGTAAGTTCTTGAACTACTGTAGGACTTCTAAGTACTCAGATGGTACAGACAGGCAGGTACTTACCTCTGTAGGTGAGAGGATTTACAGTGTTCAAAAGATCAAACTTATAAATAGTAAATCACACAAGATGGAAAATAAAAGGAGTGTAATGATTCCAGCTACTACTGAAAGGTCGGGCAGAAGAAAAATGAGCACTATCATAAAGACAAATCCCTCACATTTTACCTGCTTTCTTAGTAACAGCTCTCCTGTAACAGCTTAAGAATCCAATACAGAGACAGTGGTAGGTGTGGAGATATTTCTCCAGAGAGCATTCGAGGGACCCTCTGCGAAGTTCAGAACAAGCTGTTAGCAAACAGGTGGCCACTGCAGTCTTAGTGCTGCTTTGTTACTGAACATTTCCCATCTGAACACCCCCTCACCCTACACATGGCCAGCATCATCCTCCCCCTAGAAAATTTGTTGGGTATCTGCTACCATTAACTCAACACAATGTTAAAGCAAAAGAAGAAAAAGAGCTCTGGTGAAAAGAAGGAAGCAAAACAAGCTTGTGCTGCTGCAGAACAATGCATTTTCTTGTTTTATTTTGGATTATTCTTCACAGATCTCCCCCGCCTCCTCTCCCCACACATCTCCTCCCCCAGATGCCAAGGCAGATTTGGAACGTTTTTTGATTGATCAGAGTTGCCCAGAATACTTTACATAAGAAAGAAACAGAGTTTGTTAGCATTTAGAAAATGAACTGGAACCATCTCAAAACAACAGTTTTCAGAAATGAGTAAGTTTTCATAGCCTGAGGCAAAGGACAAAAGTTCACTGAAGACACACTATTTGATGTGCTTTACAACCTGTCCCTGGTTTGAAATTGACAGTGGGAAACCCGATTACCTGACCAAAATGGCAATATCTGAAGTGTTTAAGTCATTTGGCCAGACTGCAATTCATAGGTTTTCTTTCATACAGAATTGCAAAGTTCATGAAAATAATGAAACTGTGTGTTTTCAAAGATGTGAAGAACATTATGTATATGTGACAGATGGATCCGTGAACTGGAAGATTTCCTCATCAAAAAGGTCTTCTGGTAGTTTTTCATCTCCATCAGCAAAAAATGTAGGGAATGGAGGGTTTTTATTGTATTCCTTGCAAGTAGGCAATTTGCTATCTCTGACCTAAAAAGCAGGAAGGGGAAGGGTAGAGTTAATAAATCTTATAGCAGACTTTCAGGCAGTGATACACTAGAAATTAAAGAACTCAGCTTGCATGCATAAGAAAAAACCCAGGAGCATTCACATCGCACTTGTTTAAAGAATTCCACATATAATGATCATCTATTTTAACACCAAGCCCAGCTATCAAATTGAACATTCTGTACCCATCCTTAAGGAGTTTGTTAAAAACCAACAAAACTAAATAAAAACAAAACAAAGAGAATTTGTTGTTACAGTGAGAGAATCAAAACCTACTCTCATGAATTCATTGGTTAATATTTTAAAATGTTATTAAAATAAAAATATGGCTTGTTTAAACTGTGCTTGTATCCCACAGTACTTTCCTACGTGACATACCAAGTTATATTATGCAGTGTAATCACCTCTTCAACAACCAAGACACGCATTTGTATGTATGATGCAAACTAATTATGGTAACTAATTTTGCAAAGATATGTGCATGTGCTGTATTCAATTCCTTTGGCTACCACAGAGCTGAATTAAGCATCTAAAATTCTTCACCCAGGAATCAGTACCCAAGTTTGTCAAACACGAGCCTTTAAGACAGTTCATTTCCAAGAACTGTGGTGCCACGGAGAAATTACTTTCCTTTACTGACCTCTCTACATGTGGAAAGATTTAAAATCTAGCCCCTGAAACTCCAATCTCTGAAGAAAATTAGTAGCTAGAATTATCAGCAAAAAGCAGTTTGTCTGCAGTAGCAGATAGAAAGCTGGTATCTCTGAAGAAAAAAAAGAGCTACAAGTTCTTGAGCAATGAAATTTTACTTAAAATTAAATTCTTCGTTTCTATATTGTTACAAATGATCTTCCTTGCAAGCTGTAATAATCCCTTTCAGCCACTATACTCAAGTGGATTAAAAAAAAAAAAGTACAAATAGATTAGACAAAAATTCTACTATAGGGAAGATAAGCTCTTCCTCTTAGATTTTTAGTGGGTTTTTAAAAAACAGGAAGCTTGTTTTTACTTGGTTGGACAAAAACCTCATATAGGACAATTATGATTTATACCAAAAATTAAATAAAACAATTTTATGCCCACTGGAAGCTCTGTTTTGACAACACTCTATTTCCCAGATTCATATCTGCTATTACTTGAGCCCTTCTCACAGTCCATGAGGATTCCTGCAGATGAAGTGTATAATAAATTCGATGTTCCAACGGTTTTCTAAGTGCAGGCTTGATAAACAAAAGAAAACTTTTTGCTAAGAATGAGGAGATGAAGGGCTCAACATGTTGTACTGGTTAGCATGGCTAAGTAACTTTTCAAATAGATCTTTCCTCTTCTACCAGACACCTCCCTATAAAAGTATTCTCTATTCACTTGTAAACCGCCACATAGAACTACTTAAGTACCTCCAGTTCCCAATTTACATTACATAGCTAGATGGAATAAACTTTGAGGTCCAAGTCCAAAGACCTTTACTACAACAGTTCCAGCAGCAGTGAGATCAGAAGAAACACAGACAGCTTCAACAATGCCATCTGAAGGATGGCATCTTCAGAGATATCATCCTTCCCTTTCAATAAGTTGTGCCTGTTTCTTTTACTATATGAAAACATGTTTTAGTAACTTCACTGGTTATCTATTATTTCCCTTGCCCCTTTGTCTTTTACTCTCTAGTCCTATGACACACCATAAGCCTTCTCTATCAACAGCAAACTGCCCCACAGCCTCTATGTTAGTAAGTATTAAGAAGACTAGAATAAATGATTTTATTTATGTTAACTTATTAATTTCATATACCTAATGTATTAAAATGTTTTTCATGTCTACTTTTTGTTACTTTTGATGATTTTCATCATGAAATAATATGTGTTGTTACATACAGGCTATCTCATTACAGGCAGTTTTGGACACCTGGAAAATGAAAGGAATTGAAATGTTTGTTTTCCTCCTTTTTTTCCCTCCCTTTCTTCTTAAAATAATTTTTTATGACAGGATTTCGAAGCAAGACATCTGCTCTCAACTGAAAGCAAATTCAACAGTCTAATTTTAGTCCTGCATTAGTTTACCTAAATAAATGTAAGATTTCTGTGCAGACTTAACATTACATTAATGGCATATTAATGTCAAGGGACATTTTAGAGATAGCGCCTCTTGTGTGATAAGGAGAATTCTTAAAATAGTTTTAATGCTTCTCATGAAGCATTTTCAACAAACCGTTGTTGCTTTCACAGCAGGACAATACTATTGCATTTTACCACTTCCAAACTCCTCAGAAGCTTGACAGATCCCAGAAGCACAGGCCGTATCTGATGTTAAAATGGTTTTCTTTTCATATGCTCTTTCTTTTGACTAGTATAATTGACACAGTATTTCTTTTGACTGGTGAAAACTACTGCTCTTTTTCCATCTTCTTGTACATTCATTGCTTTCAAATGAAATATAAAGCAAAAGAGCACCACCTAAGAGCATCACTACCAAACTGAATGAACGTCCTTCTTTCTCCCTTGTAAATGTCAAGAATTAGATATTATCAGATATTACCATTATTATTCCTATTAAAAGGAACAACTCAATTTCATTTTATATCGGAAAGTACCGATTAGCAACTTAAAACACAGTATGAATTACCTGTCTTCTCAAGAGATTTACTGAATGATTCCCTTTACATTTATGAAGGGTGCAGCATACCAAAGGTTACCTGTATCTAACACCTCAGACTCCTGCACAATAACTTCACAATAGTACAAAGGGGTCCAATGGCATGCAGCAGCAAGAGCTACGCTTGTTTGCATAAGCAAACAAGTACACAGTAAAGAAGTACAGCACAGCTCTTCCTGTTCTCCTTGTAACCTCCGGAGAACAGCCCTAATAAAGGAGTAAGTTTTCATCCTCTGTGTTACTAAAATCCAGTGAATTTACCTCTCACCCACAGAAGGAATCAGGCTGATAGTCCAACTGGTTATTACAATCCATAAAAGCATTCACTGTATAATTCAATATACCATAAATGCTTGGCTTACTCAACTGCTGCATTAACAGTACTATTATATTATAGTATATTATAGTACACTATACTACAGAGAGATGATACATAGTGTATATACATTACAGTGTATTCTCTGTCAAGTCTTTTTATTAATAAAATACTAGAGAAAGCTGAAATTGGAGCTGGTTGGGGTTTTGTAACTAAATCTCTGGAACAGTCATAAAGGGTTTTGCAGATAAAATTAACAGACTGCACATATGCATGTCCCCTATACTGACGGCATAATGGGTAGTATAAACAAATGCAAATTCAGAAATCTATGACCACAAAAGACTCCATATTGTCTTAAACAAGTGCCAAAAGTTGATGCTTAAGTCACAACTCACCGTTGTAGTTCAACAGGGCTTCAGGCTGCATAAGCAACCACAGCAAAGAATTCAAGTTGTTTGCAAAACAGAAAAATGTGCTTAAATATAAAAAAAGATTAGAAATATTCTCCTCAGGTGTCATACATCACCTAGCTCAGCTTCTCTATTATTTTTGAACCTAGACAGAAAATTTAACGCAAGAACTATATCTATTTCTGACCAGCCTTATTTTGTCTTAAAAAAACCCCAACCAAACAAAAAGCCTCCACACAACTCTGTCATGGAACACGAGGTATAGGACAGGAAACATGAAAGAACTGAAGGCATCACACTATTTCTGCGTGTCCTCAGCTTGATCAGAGTATACCCAACTCGAGCATGAACAGCTAGAAACACAACACAGTAATACTGGAAAGTGTGATACAAAATAAGTAGGATGCAAATCACTACAGACTTTTCTTAAAAAAAAAACCTGAATGAAAAAGCAGTCTCAAGACTTAGGTTATTAGTTCAAGCAGAACATTATAAACCAACTGTATACTTCAATTTAACTCAGGTCTAGCATACAAAAAGGCCAGTTTAGTATCTAACTTGCTAAGCAACTCCTATGGGTTACAAGATTTGCCAGAATTTCGGCTTTCACTACAAGTGATATACTCAAAGTGGTCAACACGGAATGTCCTAAGAAAACCAGGTGCCTTAAAATTAGGACAGTTATAAAACATTATCAAAGATAAACTGAATTATAATATACCATACTACAGTACACTCTCCATTAGAAAGCAAAAAAACTACTTAAAAAGGGAATTAAATCTTGTGCTTCTCTCTTGAATGACAGAAGAGAGAATTTTTGGTACTATACTTGGGAAATAAATCCAGAGCCATAAACTTTCAAAAGAAAAAACTATTACAGATGGGAACTATAGGCCCTGTGATCTAAGAAGATACACCAGAAGGAAACAGGTGTTACCTGAGGCAAGCTATCTTGATAGGCACAACACACTAACTTACAAATGCTTTCTCTGCAATGTTACTCCTGTAACAGAAAAATTCCATGCATTCTAGCACACTGCTGAAGTTTCTTAATTTTATTAGACCTTGAAATTGAGAAAGAAATCCAAGCTTTTTTCATTAGTTCTCCAGTTGGCTAGAAACATTACTTATGCCAGTTATTTACCTGCATGCTTCAGTGTGCAATATCAAATGAAAACTGACTTTTCATTAAACCAGAAATCCATCAATCCTAGTATTCTGCTGAAAATGAAACTTGAAAAATTTAGGTGCTTCATCTCTGTCTGAATACAGTGCTGATGCACTAAGTTTCCAAAAATACAACATACAAAATAAATATATGCTTTAAAGGTACACTGTGGTTTTAATGGTTACCAAGCAACACAGAGTGGGTACTGAACACAAATGTTTTCCTCTTAGAGGCACATAAAGAGAAAAGTGTTACACAATATTTCACTTCTTGTGAAAGACAGAAGGATTCAATTTCCCTAGACATTAGTCCTACTTAATTACAGGCAGGTATTTAGTGGAATGAATGGTAATTACAAATGCTAATATCCCATAATTCCTCTCCCCAGCTACAGATCTAAACAAATATACAGCAACATATTGAAGTCAATGTCTATAAGACAAATAAGAAAACATTCTGGAAGAAAGGCATAAGACAAGCTAAAAACACCACAGATAAATGCAGTAAGATTAAATGGAGAAAGAAAAACCAGAAATTAAAGAACAGATGTCAAATAGTATTGCTTTGCCTGATTTTATAATTAAAGCTTTTTCTACTCTTCAGCAATGTGTTTGAAAATATAAGAGAAAAAATCAATTAATACCTGTAACTCATATGGCTTATGCAAGAAAAAAAACCACACAATGGATTCACCAGCTCAAGGAACTGGAATAAACTGTTTCTGACTACATACTGCCTCCAATCTCCAAATATGTGAGTGGAGACAATTTTTAGAGATCTATTTCTTAATAGCAGTAATACCTACTGCTGTGCCTTTATCTCAAACAGTGTTATTTATTATTAAATGTCATGAAAGTTTGAGTCTGGAGCATTTTGGTCAAGATCTTTCAAATATTTTATTATGTTAATCAAGGAGCTCTAACAGAAGAAAAGCCTCATTCTTCCCATGGATCCTTAACCCTCATTAATGGAATTAGTTGCAACTCTGAAATGCATTTGCCAAAATGTATACTTGAAGATACCTGGACTTCTAAATTGTAGATAACTATGACTTGAAACGCTTTAAATACAGGTAACTTACAGATAAAATTAATACAGATTCTGATATTGTAGACATTCTGTATAAGGATGAGTAAGCAGTTAGAAAAGTGCCTTGTGCCACTTAGTTAATACTGATGGACTAAGTTTACTTGAAAAAAAACAAATGAGCCATTTTAACTTTTGGTCTTAGGATAAAGTTCCAATCATCATCCGTGGCGAGTGAACTGAACAGAAATGACTCCTGGACATGGCAGGCACTTAAATGGTATGCAGCAGACTGCCACAGCAGTCCAAGCCCATTATCCTCTTGACATTGCAGATGTCAACACGGTAGTTTTACCGCTTATACTCGGGTGGCTTGGCCCAGCAATCTCCTGTTAAAAGGGCTGTTGACTGTGGCAGTGCTGTTGCCTCAAGGATTTTTTTAAGCTAACAGCAGGACTGCTTTCAGAACAAGACCAGTAAATCCAAGGTGTTAACGGGGATGCTTCCCAGCCTAGACAACAGTAACAACCGAATAAAGAAAAAGAGAAGGTAGAAGAAAAAGGTGAAAGTGACCAATCATGACAGAAAGCACGTATGTTCTTCTCCAAGAAGTGAGCGCAATATCTGATCAGCAAGGGGACATTGATTTGTTTAAATGAGATCTTCACAGAGTACATATGAATGTGTAGTATTAACACACACACCTTTGCTTTTAAAAACAATTTATATTACAGGTGTTTAATAAATGTTTGTTTTCTTAACTCGCTTAAAATCAGAAATAAAAAAATAAATTTACTGAGTGTAGTTAGAATAAAAGTTATGATCTAGAAGAACTAGGTACTGTATTCAGTCTTAGTGGCTTCATAAGGTGTTGTATTCTTACAGAGAAAAAATATGAGATATGTACATGCATTTGCCACCAAGCAGGGCCACTGTAAATGTGGATTTTAAGAGCATGACTAGGATAACAAGATGCACCGTCTTTTGCAACAATTAACTCTTGCTTAAGAGTACTATTAAGAATTTAGAATACAGTTTGGGCATCAAATGTTTCTCAGTTTTTCAGCTACATTATTTTGTTTGTATACTTATAATTTAAAACTAACATCCTGCAACAGATTCCCACTTATTTAAACCTCAGACTAACAGCAACCAGGTTCATGTCTTAGGATTTGAAAAACGGGACACAGCTGGAGAAGAGGTAATTTGGTTCAAATTTGGTTCAATACAAGGATGAAAAGCCAGCCAAGCTACAGTCTTAATTCTATATAATTGATGTAGTGCCCAGTAATTTTGCAGTTGTCCTGAAAACTACTTCTCTCATGGCCATGTGTTAACCAATTTTCACTATCTTGGAAGGGAAAAGGCTTGGGCTGGACCTTACAACCAAAGCAGTTTAGAAATACCGCACTCAGAAAAAAAGGCCTTATTTTCAATGAGAGAAAGAAGAATAAACTTCATTTTTCTGTGGGAAAAACACCTATTTGAAAGCTAGCGTTGCTGTACTTAAAGCCAAGTAACTGCGGAGTTCTGATTCACAACTAGGAAACATGGAACAGAAACTGGATGTCCACAGTAAAATATGACAAGAAGATAATAAACTAATTGAAAACATCTGAACTTGATGAACTCTGTAGCTTTTCAAAAACTGAATAATTTAAATCCCAATAATACTTCCGAGGATTTAAAACTGTGTATCAGATATACAGGCATATGTACATCAGAATCTTTATAATCATTCATAGCAAAGATGTTTGATAGCCTGTACTCTATTCAGTCTGAAAGGAAGCAACTTTCTCCAAGTAATTTGTGCTTGCAGATGTGTAGAATACACCTAATTAGAAAGAAAAATCTATTTTGAAAACAACCCTCGGAAGCACTTTTCTTGCTTTGATGTGGATTATTTACACTGTAAGAACACTTATTAGACTCTTCATTGTTTCAGTTTTTCACAGACAATCTTGAAACAACCTCCATAAAATTTGAAATTAGTTCTGCAGACTGACACAGAAAATAACACAGACACATTTATATTGATTGCAAAGGGAACTCAGATCTTTATTGTGAATTCCCGCTGTCTCCTTCTGTACCTCAACTGCTCCTTGGAAAGGTAATTGCTACTGCATATGGGAATGCTTGGAATAACCTCTAATACCTTGCTGTGTATTTCTGTTCACAAATACAGCCCTTAAATAATATTCTGGAAATTTCACCACCATGCTACTGGCTTGAGTTAGCATTCAAAGGGGATGGATGTAGGCTGGAGACACTTACCAAAGCGTTTCAGCAACTGTGCTGGTTTATCATAAGCTACGTGGGTGCACAACCCCAGTGCAAAGCTAAGAATGAGCCATTCAGAGTGAGTGTGATGCACTGCCCCTACTAATCACTCTCTTTGACAGAACTGATTCTACTGCCCTTTAATTCAACAGTACTAGATGGCATTCTGAAGAAATGAAGATTGCATTCAACCAGTGTTTTTCCTTTTATAAGAAGAGATTTGTGAAGAGTTCAGGAGTCACTAATATCAGTAAGTTGAAACTAGCAAACATACCTTCACCAGACAATTTGTGTGACCTGGAACAGAGCCATTTACATAAATAATGTCATGTATTGTGTTGATCCTCCACACCTAGGAGACAGAAAAAAGAAAAACCAGACATTGAGCCCTGTTTAGACTATTCCCACTTTTACAAACAGTAGTCCAGCAAAGCACAAACTGATTAACTGGAGGTGGTACTCTGGGAAAGAACATTCTGCACAGGCCTAAACTGCCACAAAATTCACTCACATGCCACTCTGACTGCCAAACTTTCTCATGCAGGAGTCTGTAACAGTTTTGAAGGGCAGGTGATGAGGCTATATTTGGTAAGGCAACTCTTTGTTCAGCAAACACCAACCAGAGCTCCTAAGCCTCTTTTTCCTCTAACGGCAACAGCTGCTGAACATCACAGGTGACAAAATAAAACAAATGTCCTCATGAAAGTGTTACTGTGAGCATTTGTTAATTTCTTAATTCAATGAGGTGCTCAACTGAACACATTTTCTGCTACAAAAAATTAGTTTCAGTTAACAGAGAAGAGCAGCAGCACACTTTTTTGCAAACTAGAGGTCAATTTGGTTTTTGTGCAAACTGCAGAGAAAAGTAGCTTTAGTAGCCCAGGAGCTGCTGTACAAATGTACCAATCAGAATCTGGACAGAAACTATAATCTCTTTTTTGTAAATGAAAGGGAAGGGTTGTGATCAAGTTAGGACTTCAAACACCACCAACATAAGGCTACATGGTTGAGTCCGTTGCTTGGCAATGCAACCACTCTATACACATTCCAGTATACTCAGAACTCACCTTTAATCCAAAACATGTCCTATAGACGTTACCCATTTTACCTGGCATTTTCTTTCCGCGATAAACTTTGGAAGCTTTCTAGATAAAAACAAGGCCAAAAAAAAATCGTGTTAACTGCAAGAGGAGCACTGGAGAAAATATGCTGATATTTCCAATGTTGAAAATATAATATTGAAAAAATCTAACACTGATTAGCATTTTAAATACCTCCTGCTGGAGGTTAGGTATTACTCTACATGTTATCTGAAATACTTGACCTCAATCATAAAATTGCTACATATACTGCTATATGAACAAAGAGATTCTAGCTATGCTTAATACTTAATGTATATAGATTCAGAGTAAAATCTGTACTCATTCATACTTGCACTGTGTGAAAAATCAAGAAAAGTTTTTTCCTAAGATTCCTGTCAACACAAGTCTCTCACCTACATCACAGACCACAGCAACTGGAAACTTGCCTGAACTACTTGTGGATGCAAACACAGAGCTCCAGAGCAGTCCTGCCCTAGAAGGCTGCTGAAATGAAGATACACTGTAGCTTCCCTCCTCCCCCTAATCCATGATTTTCACACTGATGTAAATCAGATCTGTTTTAATGCATGTATTTTTGAGAACGAAATGTTAATTTAATTCCATTCACTGCTATTGCTTAGTTTCTGTATCCCATTTGTGACAGGCTGGGTATAAACTGGACTACAAAGGTGGAAAAAAAAGGCAGGAATAAGTGCAATAATTTTCAAGTCTACATTGTTATCAGGGGATTTGTATCCTGCTCCTCTCTGTTATTCATTAATAATGTTTGGGCATTTTTTTAATTCTTGTGAAAATCATGATTTCAGGAATCAGCTGCAATGCAGTTCTAGGGAAAGGACTCTGTACTGAAAAATCCTGAATTACAAAAACGTCTGAGATGGTCAACACTAGATAGGAAAAAACTAACAAGGCATTGTTTTTCCCCTATTGCATCTTTTCATCTTGTTTCTTTTTCATCTACCCATTTCCAATACTATTTTCCATACTTTGTGAAATTACATTCAGCATTACTGCTTATGAAATTCTATTTTAAAGAAAAGAGAAGTTATTTTGTAATGGTGAAGATCATCTATTAAAACAGTGTTCTGTGTTCAAATATTTAAATTCTTCAGTGAAAACAAGTGCCAGGTGGAGAATTCTTTTTCCAGCTGAAACTGAAGGCTATAAATCAGTAATGCGTGCTTTTACACTCTCAATTACTCTAACTTCATTGCCTATTGCCTTTTTGCTTTTACTATTCTCCGAGCATTATTAATACTTTTCTAAATTTTAATTTCTCTAAGAAAATTACAGACAGTTCAGGTTCAGTACTGTGACTCAGTTGATCTTAATTAGTTTGCAAAAATTCCTCTTAGTTTGGTCTAAATATTGTACAGCCTTAATAGGACAAAGTTTAAACTTAATCTGCTCAAAGAGCTTTTATACCAATTTTATTAATAGTTTGAAAAGCAAAAATATGACTCTGTACTCTGCTTAAAAATGCTTAGAAGCTTACAAAATTTTGGGAATTATTCCCTATAAGATTATGGGAATCAGTTCATCAAGCAGCTACACAAGCCAGGCAAGGTGACAAAAGCAAGTAGGGTTCCAAAGAATGGTACAATATCTGCAGTGTAAAATAACAGGCAAATCTTTTCCAATCTATTAATGGTCTGATAAAAGCTTCTTAGATCTCTCTTTGAAGTATTAAGACTATTCCTCCCAGCTATACTACAGAATATGAGAATTTGCTCAGTTGAAATATGTGTGCTCACCAGCAATATAGAATACTCATAAACTGAGGCATAAGAGAACAGCTATCTGCATTGCTCATTACACAGGTTTCTGAACTTCCTTTGAAACAACTGGCATTCTTTGCTACCACAGAGTACATGTAGCAGCTAGATATTGTGAAATTGTTCATTTTTAGTATGCAGTTAAAAAAACATTGAGAATGTTTAAACAGGAAATAAGAATCCTCACGTTAGTAGATATTGCTCCAGGTCTTCTGTGAGTTTTTGTCTGGCCGTGGCTTGCAGGCTGACCTTTAAATCCCCACCTTTTCATGACACCTTGAAATCCTTTACCAATTCTGAAAACAAAAATAATTAAAAAAGAAACCTGGGTTAGTCAGACTTAAGGTTGTTATTCTAGCAATAACCAATAATTTCAGTCAGGCTCATGATCTTTTTACCTTTAGCAAAGCTCAGCAGAGAGGGGAATACAGTTAAAATGAAACTCTGTATTTTACACCATAAACATATCCTAGCACAATGCTTAAAGAATAAGAAGCACTAGAAGAGAGTCAAATAGGTAAAAAGACTAACACAAAATGCTTCTTGCTGTGATCATCCTCAAGAAATGTTACTGCAATAAAGCTTTCATCGAGTGGACACCAGAAAAAACACCCTCCCAAAAAAACCAAACCAAAAAACCAAAACCAAATAAAAAGAAACTGTATAATAGCATATACCAAAATTTAGTGACAGGCCCTAAGCATCAAGAGAGGAAAGAGATGACTGCTTAGACTATGATAAAAATAAATGAAGAAACATTTTCCATACTACAATAAACTCATCTCTTGAAAACAGTTTTGTGTATAGTGAAAACATGTAACTCCCTTGGTACATACTCATCTAACAAATAAGGTCTACAGCACAGTAACAAATAAAACATATTTTCAGAGTCCATGCCCTTAATCTTTGAGGCACATGATAGTATTACTGGCTTTGGAGTTCTCTATTTATTGCAGGAACAGACTCAACAGGAAAACCCACCTTATCACTGCACAAAGGAAAAGCCGATTAAACTGTGTCTTTAAACTGGAATTGTCTGTTTCCAAAAGGAAAAATCTAACCACAGGGTTTATGGCTGCAATGATTATTTAATTCATTTACAAAGATGATCCTTTTCCTCCAATTTACAGAAATCCTTTCTCTGTTAATGCACTTTGCAATGTCACTTTGCAATGATCCTATTAGTTCAAGCATTAGAACCTTCCAGCCAAGCACAGAAAAATAAACCCAGGTATGAGCACACACAGAGCACATTCCACAGTGCGACTGCATTTTGTTGACTCCCCTGCTCAGCACTACCATGAAAAACTAGAGAAAATACACAAACATGGAAAACAACAACATTTGTGAAAACTAGATTCTTTCCTCTTACCACTTGAGTAATTCTCCTCTAATTGCTGCCCTAGATGCCTTGAGCATGTCAAGCTACGGTCAGAATCAGCCACAAAGACTCTCTAAAGCCACAGAATTGTAAGGAAACAAGAGCTGCTTGGAAGAAGATAAGGATCATCCCAGTTAAATTTGGCAAAGAAAGATGTGTAATTGTTTGAATCGAGATTTATTGGTTAGAAGCTCCTCAATTTTTTTTGCTCCTTACCTACAACTTTCACACACACATGGCTAGGCTTCGCAAATTAAGATTTGGGAAAGGCCCTACCCACATTTGTTACAAGCGTGCTGGTGGCTAAAAAGGCCAATACGAGATAGACACATCCCGTTGCAAAAGGCACAGCAGAAGGACTCCTTAGGTGGAATATTCTGCAAGACATTCTGTGTTGTTACCTACAACTAAGGAAATGCTAAAATACAATTTAAGTAGTGCTATGTTCCTTTGGCTTGCCAGCTGGCCAGTCATGCAAGTGGTTGTCACCAGCAAGACAGTTCTTCCAGGCCAGCAGACAGTGCTGGAACCTGAGGATATGAAGAGGGTCAGGGCCATGAGAGGAAGCTAAAGGAAGGCACCTCCACGAGGGAGGGCCTGAGTTACCAGGAAACAGGAACACAAGACAGAAATCTAAAGGATGCAAGGCTTTGTAACACCAGTTTCCCATAGAATCAGCTTATTTTAAAAGCTTGCATTAGTAAACAGCAATAGTTGTAAAAAAAGGTTTGAAAAATACATTTTAAGAGAGGCTCAAAACTTGTCTTTTCTATGTCTGCATATTGCTAGGGGATCGTATAATAATATAATGGCCAGTCTTCGCGAACGAAGATTTTGGGAAAGGTCTTTTACCTTTCGAGCCTGCACAATGGATTTTTTTTTTTAGGTGAGACACAGCATGCGCTGAACTGAGCCCACCCTTTAATCCTAAGGTTCATCTGCCGGGGCCAAGCAAGCTTGGACAATGGCAGTGAGGTCCTCAGGACGTAGGTTTATTTAGAGTGACCTTCTCATAGATGGATGGCCTCACAGGGCTAACGAGTTCCATCTGCCCGGGGGACCAGGAATCAAACCTGGGTCGCTGCAGTGAGAGTGCCGCATCCTAACCACTAGGCCACCAGGGGTCCCCCTAGGGGATCAATAACTTTGAAATACATACAGAAACTAAGCTATAGGAAAACTCGTATCTGTTCTGCCAAAATGCTATTTTTTTCTTTTAAACTATCTATAACTGGCCATGTTTTCCACGTAGACTACTTCTGGCATCTCTAGCTGGAAGATGAACTTAACAAAGCCTCCAAAACCAACTGCAAGCAGGTTGCATAACAACAGCTGTGCAGTCACCAGAGTGAGCAGATCGAGGGCATGATTAATTCTTTAGCTGCAAAAATGTCCTTGCAATTGAGAGAAAACCACACAACCTTAGAAAGCCACCAATTCACAAGTAAACAGTACTGTCAACTTGAATCAAGAAGCATGATGTCATGAAACCGCTTCAATATTTCATTCAGATTGCTCATTTTTAAACAATTTAGAATACTAAAAATTGTACTTCAAAAAAAATAAAATAAATACCTAATACTTACAAGAGATGTATTTTGAAAAAAAATGCTTAATACATCAATGTTTTAAGATATCTTCAGAAAGAAGTGATTACATCACAAGACAGAGTTGCTACTGTTTAATGATTTGTGTGACAGACTATGTTCATCTGCTTCTTGGTCCTTCCAGTTACACACATATTTTCTGTGAACAAAGTCTCAGACTTTACAGTACCGAAGCTTTAGGAAATTTATAGGAAGTGTAACCAGCCTAAAAAAGAGCACTCTGGTAAAGCTGAAAATTCTCTTGGATCTGTTGATCTGGAATATGAAAACAAATTTCCAACCTCTGAAATATTCTGCCTAAAGTCAAGGAAAGATATCACAATTCTGAAATTATGAGTACTTCAAAATGTACAACATTTTACTATCTACCAAGGCTCTTTCATCATACTAGTTCAATAATGTTTCAGATTAGTTTCATTATTTATTTGTGAAAAACTGATTGAAAATCACTGAATAACCTACAAATACACTTTACCTTATGACTTAATTTACTTGGTTTCACTGGATGAAACATATTTACCTGAGTCCCAGAAAGGAATTGCAGGCAGCAATGATGAGATGAAAAACTAAGACACGCAAATGTTAAATGAAATCCTTGTGCAGAATTAGAGTTTAATTGCACCCAGTTATTCTACTCTCACCTGCAGGAAAGCAGGTGTTTAGGTCAACCGCCTAATTTTGTACAAAACCTCATTTTCCAGGTTTGATACAAGTAAAATGCCAGTACCTAATGAGACAACTTTCATTTAGAAAGCTACTGGAATAAAGTATTCTAATTAAGTTTGCTGCTAACTCTTCAAACATAGTTCATTTAAAAGACCGTTATTTAGATGCCGTAGAGGATGAAGGATTCCATCTACTTAGTCCAATAATTTTGGACAAATGTAGAACATACTTTGAGGCTCAGAATACACTGTTAACCTAGCAAAGCTTAAATAAACCATAAACACTCCAGAATCATCACTTAATTCTGGCACATTTCAAATAAAACTACTGTTGATTTTTAATTTGGAGTGACAAAATTTCTCATGTTCCCAAGTTTTCCTGAAATGTTCACGGAACGGGTCATGAACTGGCAGAAAAGGAGGTAAGATACAACTCCATGTCCATACAGCATTGGGCTACCACTGCAGGCATGGTCCTACCTCTTCCTATCACCACGTTCTGGTCACGTGTGTACTAGTGCAGAAGCTCACTCGGGTGATCAGCAAGCTGGAGCACACAACTGATCCCTCTGAAAACTAACCCAGAGAAGAATACAGGTATCTCACACTGATCTTTTCCTTCATGCAATTCAGGAGACACAAGTACCAGCGACAGAGGGTCAATGGGGACTCTGGGAGAGAGCACCACTTTCCCTTTGGGCAGCAGCCTATGCCCTATGTCAGCTTAAGGAGGTCACCATAGAAGCATCATAGATTGGCCTGGGTTGGTAGGGACCTTAAAGATCACCTAGTTCCAACCCCGCTGTCAAGGAAGGAACACCTTCCAATAGACCAGGTTGTTCAGAGCCCCATCCAACCTGGCCTTGAGCGCTTCCAGGGATGGGGCATCCACCACTTCTGTGGGCAATCTGTCCCAATTCTTCACCACCCTCACAGTAACAAATTTCTTCCTAATATTTAATCTAAACCTACTCTCAGCTTGAAGTGATTTCCCCTTGTTCTGTCACTCCAGGCCCTTTTAAATAGTTTCTCTCCAACTTTCTCGTAGGCTCCCTTCAGGTACTGGAAGGCTTAGGTCACCCTGAAGTCTTCTCTTCTCCAGGCTGAACAATCCCAATTCTCTTAGCCCTTCCTCGTAGGAGAGGTGTTCCATCCCTCTAATCCTCTTGGTGACCCTCCTCTGGACAGGAGGTCAATGCCCTTCCTGTTCTGGAGACCCCAGAGCTGGATGCAGCACTCCAGGTGGGGTCACAGAAGTGCAACCTGTGAGAGAAGTGCTTCTGGACGGTGCTACAAATCTTAGCTCAAAGCATATCAGGGCTAAACTTAAGGATTGAGCTTTTAAACAGCTGAAAATAAGTACTAAGGAAAATATTTCAGCACTACAGAAGACTGACAGCATGCAGACACACTGCCTAATGACAGCGCTCTAAAAGCTACTTATATTTTGCTGAACAAATTATGAGACTTCAAATAAAAACAAACTGCATACATCTTTAACTGAACCTTCTTGTTTCTGTGAAAGTGTTTTTCTTTACAGAGGTATAAATGAATAAAAGACTTTGACAAAAATATTTGTAGGGAAGATTAAAAAAGACAACTAAATAAAATACCCTACACTTTCGTAATCAAATGAAGATGCTAACCAAGACTTCTGAAATGTAGTGCAAGTCCTTCATTCAGGCTATGATAACTAAGAAAAGCTTGCTCATTTTTAAGGACCATATTTTTGATTTATTTTGGTAGAAGGAAGCATACAGAAAGATATCTTGCTCATATGGATAATTAAGAGTTGGCAAAAAATTAAAATATCCTTTATATTCCCCTACATTATCTCCTCATTGAGATGACATTATTTTTTCTTTCTTTTTTAAAGGAATAATTAGAATTAATCATGTTCTTAACAACAGCACCACCATTTTCATGTACATGATTTCAAACATTGCACACACTTCGGTGTTTCCTCCATTAAAACAAAATTACTGTCAATCTTAAAAATGTAAAGTACATGTTCACGTAAAAACATTTCTAAAAACTTTGTTACCAGTGATAGCAAGTTTTTAGGAATTACTCTCTTTTAAATCCACAGTGGTTTGAATCAGGAAGAACCAGGCCTGTTCCCCAGGTTGGATGGGGCTTTGAGTAAGCTGGTCTAGCAGAAGTGTTCTTGCCCATGGCAGGGGGGTTGGAACTAGATGATCCTTAAGGTTCCTTTCAACATAGAAGTGGGAGGAAGGAAAGGAAGTCAAACTATGCTCCCTTCTGTAACTCAGTGTTATTTTCTTCAAGTACCTTTCCAAAACGCCCCTATAGCTTAGGATTGTTCAAGTGCCTACAGCACTGCTAAAACTGGGGCTTTACAGAGTAATGTACAAAGGCTCACTTCAGCCTGTGGACCAAACCTCCCAAGGTCTTTGTTCAGCAGGGAGAAGCTGGTTTCTCTTGAGGTGGGTTCAGAACACAAACCTAACATGAAGCACGTTGTCATTTTTTCCCCTCACAGTGCAGCCCAAATGCTATGGGTCAGTGCTATAACCATTCCCAAGGTAACTTTTTTTCCCTTCACTGAAGCATTTCTTGGATATTTTTGTGACATTGTGGAATCTGTACTTCCTGGTACAGTAACTACGAATCATTAATACAGTATTCTGAAAAGTAAAAAAAACCTGAACCTCACAAAAGTATGAGACTAAGTAACACTGGATGAAATTCCATGGAATAAAGTAAAAGACCCAAAGAAAAACTGAAATGTAGTAAAATAACTTAATTCTTGCCCAAGAGTTAACGGAATATGATAAATGAAGCATTCCAGAAAAGTGGAAATTAAGAAGAAATAAACTTTAAAAGTAGAAATCAGAATGTGAGTAAGCTGCAGAAAAAAGTTAAAAAAATTTTGATACAGGAAGACTGGAATGATTAGACAATCATGTTGACAGAAAACCCAACTGATCTTTCTCTTTAGCAGAAGAATTTTTTCTTCACCTATACAGAAGGATTACAAGTAATGTGCTACCAAACCAGCGCAAACAAACAGCTAATTTCTGAAATGGGATCATACAAATACCTGAAGAAAACAGATCAGAAATACTGGATTTCAATTTAAGATGGATTCACTGAACGTGACCAAGAACTCAGTCTATTTTTAGCTTGCTAATATTTTCAAATACCAAGATATAAATATCCTGTGGCTGTTTACCATCTTCTACAAGCCAAAAAAAAATCCCTTTAGTAGTTCTTGAAATACTTTTAGAAAAACAAAGCTTTTCTGCGTTAACAAACGGTGACACTTAATCTTCATTAAAAAACTGTATTCCTAATGATCCTGTGTTTTGTTTTGCAAACAGGCTATTGTCTCTTATAGGCTGTTCATGGAATGCAATTTAGAAGGAGAATGAACAGCATACCAGATCTAAGTATTATATAAAGAAGTTTGACATAAAAAAAATACTAATTTCAGTCAACTCCTTGACCTCCTTTTCTCAATAGGGTATCCTCATAAATACAGTCAGGTGCTTGGTTTCCCCATATATACAAGACCCTGTGAATGATATTACACATTTATAGGTCATACACACGTGAGACTATTACAGTTGGGTATTACCTTCATTAAACCTAAAAAAAACCCAGAAAATGTTATCTTTGTATCACAACACAACAAAAATAACAGTCCACTGAAATACACAGATAGGAGTTCTCAGTTCTCTTGGTCAGTGGAAATCACAGATGTACCACAAGAGCCATGACTAGTCTTTGCCACAAGATGCCAATTTTTCTTTTGACACCCTCTACCACTTGAGCTCTAATTTGGCATTCACAGTGGTCTGAGAGGAAATCATTCCTCCCACATTAAAGTAAAAGATCATTAGCCACTGCTGGCAAGGACATGAGCTGGAATACGAGAGAAAACAGAAAAAAAAGGAATTTGACAGCTCTGTTGTCCTGCTAAATGTATTCAACATCTTTTTGCTTTTCTTTCAGTCCACATGATACATCTCTCTTCATATCTCTTCACCAAATCAAAATCATGCAGTCTTTTTGAGAACTGATGCCTTTCAGCATTCATTCCCCACTTCTACATACCACAGATGCTGCATTATAGATCTCTTTGCCCATGCTAACCTTGAACAACATTTTCTCAAGCTGTTTGACTAGCTCTTCCATGTACATGTGACAGATATAGGCAGAACCGACAGATATAGGCAGAACCATCACCCTAATAGTATTAATTATTCATCTTGTTCATAATCAAAAGCAAAGAAAGATAATTTTATATTGCTGACCCAATGAGTGAATGGACACGTATCTCCTGTCACTACTCTTGCAATTGTATTTCAGCTTTTGTGATCCATGGGTTCAAGACAAAGTAGAGGGAAGAAAAAGAGAACCAGTCTATTTGACAGATGAATCGCACACGTTAAATCATTAGAAACCTACGTTTTTGCAGTAACATCCACAAACTGCCCTGGGCGGAAGTGAGCAGCATACAAAGGAGTACCTTCAAAAGAAGAGGAGAGATTATGTTCAACTAAGTGCTGAAATCCTTAAATCACTATCCAGTCATTATCATACAGGGTAGATTACAGTCACAGCAAAGGAAAGAAAACATTCACATATTATTTATTCTTCTTTATGAACCTCACTGAGTAAGAGAGATGCTTTGTATTTACTACTGAAGCACATTTCTCAGGTCCTACCCAATTTCAGATGAACAGGAAGGAAGGGCCAGGGCTCTACTGAGGTACGTTGTACTTCATACACCGAAAGAGACAAAGCCCAAAACATCTAATTAGTTAAGATTCATAATAAACACGCTTAGCAAGAAAACAGAACATGCTGTACTTAGATATACTAGAACTTTACAAGGTGGAGAGTTTTTAAAAAAACAAAACAAAAAACAATCAAGCCACAAAGAAAACCCACTTACTATAAAAAATGTGGTTAAGAATAATAAAAAAAAAGATAGTTTTGCAATGCTTCCTCTTTATTAAGACATGGTGTTTCCAAACTAAAGCCTATGGGAGAAATACAGCCTCATCCACTGGGGGATTACCTATACACTAACTTTCAGCAGAAGTAGTGCTACTGTAGGTCAGTGACACCACTCACCTCACTGTAATTACACTAATTCCTTAAATACTTGCAGTATCAAAAATTACTTGTATATTTATTTTGTCTTCAGTGATTTTTTTTTATCCAAGTGCAATATTCTTTTATTAGCAGCTTAAAAAAAAACCCACAACAAACCAAAATTAATAACTTAGTTCATTATAAATCTATACAGATCTATATAGCTGCATATTTCACAGTTTCCAGTCTGTTTTACATCCATTAAAAAAGTGAAATTTTAATTGTTTCACGTCCACGCCCTTTCTCATGCTTTTTCAAATCTGGACGAATGCAAACTGAAATGATGTAAACCTCTCATAAATCTCAAGCATAAAAATCCTCATATTATGTCATGTTATATTTATATAATCCATACACACCTGGAATAAGATGCCTGTCAACTGACACAAAATCATGCACATAAAGGATGTCATGTACAAAATACATGCACTGAAAAACCAGTTTATTGAAAACCTGCAATTCTGCTTTATCTCAAGCTTTTCCTTCCATTTAGCAGTCCAAACTTCCTCTTCATTTCAGATTTGATTTTTATCAGTTACCACACTGTCTTAAAAACATCTTACAAAAAGCTTCACTAATGGCAAGGAAATATACAATATATTAGATTTTCCAACCCTACATAATTCTTCAGAAAATACCTATAATCGTCAAAAGTGAAAGCAACCTAAGTGCAGTACTTAATAAAACCTTAGAAACTTAAAACCTTTTGTTAGATCTCCAAACTCCTAATACTGATTTTTAGTGAGAACATTTGTTATAAACACGTTTTAGTGTGCTTTACTTTGTAAGCTGTCAGGAAAAACACCCTAAATGACAGCCATCAGTCTTACTTCTGAATGCAGCAAGAAGAAAAAAACCTCAAACTGCTATTTTAGGTTCCTGAGAAACATTACCACAAAATTCTGTGTCCCTCTCATAAAGACAAACACAGAACTTCCCATAACTGTATTCATATTTATTCCCAGACAGTGAGTCAATGTTACAGACTTACTTCTTCTTAATTCAATGTTCATATTAGTAAGTTTGGATTAGAGTAACTTTCTAATCAATCGAAACATAGTACCCCAGAAAAAGGAAAAATCCTACTTCTCATCAACTAAACAATTCCCTAAGAAAAAAGTATGCTTGTACTTAATGACAAAGAATAATTCAGCAACTTCCATACAAAACAAAAATTAAATACACATCATAACTTTGTTTAGGTCTACAAGTAGCAGATGTTAAACGATTATGCATGTAATAATCAGCAACTCAAAAAATTACCTGGCTTAATTATGGCATCATCTGTTACATTAAATGTTGCAACTTTCTGCTTTCGTGGTACTCCAGCTTCTTTAAAAATCTGATGTGCAGACTCTGGTTTCTGTAACAAAAAGCAGCCGTAAAAAAGAAGTGATCTTAAAATACCCAAGATCAACCCAGCACAGAAAACGATTACAGACTGTCAACACCACTCAGAGGAACAGATATATCATACTAAAATTTTATCTTGAGACTAGCATTTTATCTCTATATAAAATTTATTTAAAACTCCTGTCTCTGCATTTTATTTTCTGCCAACTAGTTACCCTACAGCTACATCATATAAATAAGATACCTATGAAGATTTCCAAGATCAGAATCATTTACAATATAAATAAAAGATACTACTGTTTTTGTCATGGCTTACAAAGAGTTTTGTAATAATTTAAAAATATGTTCTCTTTTTCAAAGCTACTGATGACTTCGTTCCACACGACCATAAATACAATTTATTTGATTTAACTAAGAAAACAATAGAATCAAAGTCTCATCTTGCAGAAACTTCTCAAAAGGCTTAACTTTTCCACAGAACAGAATTTTGAGTCTCTGGACAAGAAAAGAAAAATTAGTAACAACAAGTTTATGATTCATGTATTTTTAAGGTATACCAAGTACACTCAGTGCCTAACTACTGCTGACTTAATAAAGCAGGATCTTCTTTTCAGAGGAGTCTGACAAATTTAAAAGTACTTAAAATTTTTCTCAGCTGTTTTAAACAAGACAACTCACAGAACTGCTGACCATGAGATGAAACCAAGCAACAGAAACAGTAATGTAGGTAAATTTTAGCCATAGGAAAAAAGGAATGCCACTGAAATTTTCTTCAAATGAATTCTCCTAGAAAGCAATTTAAGCATCTAACAATACTGTCACACTAGGATAGTCACATCTCTGAGGTTCACTTCACAAAACTTCTGTGCAGTTCTCTCTCTTAAAATTATTTTCTATGTTTTAAGACAAAATAATTTGGATAACGTAAAAAGGGTAACATAGTTTATTTGAAAATGCAGTTTTGAAAATTTGCATGATGTCCTTTCTTTTGTTTTCAAAAATTTGTTAAAAACTGTTCGAACAAGAGAGGAAGTTTTATGAAGAATGAGAAAGCAAGATGATGAGGATCTCTTAGAAAAAACCCAGCAATTTTAAGTATAAAAATCTGTCTCTGTTTGAGGAGAAAATGTGGATACAAAGTCTCTGAGACTGAAAAGTTTTTTCCAAGTGATTTGTTAACTTGAGTTCACAGTACAAAACACTTCAAATACCTTTAAAAAAAAATCAGCTACATACAAAATCTCCCCTAAGACCACGAATATTTGAGGCATCAATGGAGGACAACTGTTTTAATCGGCAGAACCATATATGAGAATTAAAAATAAAGATATGGCCTTTCTACTAAGTGCCTGCATATGAATCCTTTACTTCCACTGTTATGTGAAACTGCTGCCTTAAGCTACAGCAAGGGGAGCTCTGTGCTACCACAGCTGAAGAAAAGCACAGTGAAGCCAAAGGGTAAAATTCACTTATATCTCGAGTCCTACTCAAGGCTATAGCCTTGCACTGTTCTACTGCAACAACAGTTGAGTCAGAGATGTACTTTCACAAACAAAACACTGCAGTCTTTACAAAGCCTTCCTAAAAAGCAATATTGAGTGAATTCTCAGATGTTCTAAACTTTTAAAAACACCAATGATATCTTCCAGTATTATAGGAAAATGATCGATATGCCCTCACTTTTGGGAAGCATATAAAATATTTTTGACAAAAAAAATGTTAGAACACTGTCAGAACCGTACATTTGAAAACAGTCTGCATTAAAAAATCATGAAAAATCTCTTCACTTGTAGCAGAGTGACATACATCAAGCTAAAAAGGAAAAAAAAAATATCTTGCTAAAAGTGCAATATTCCTTATCAGCTTTTAAGCAATTTGACACTCAAAAGAAATACAGAAACTTCTTTTTTAGTAAAATTACTGAGGGAATCTTTTGTTTGAACTCATTAAAAATCAGAAGCTGTGAGGAATCTGAGGAAGACAGATGTTCCTATGAGGAACTAACAGAAGATAAATTGCTTATGCTAATACAATACAGTATCATTTACCCTTCTTTTAATTCTCACTTTCGACACTTCAAAGAGAAAAGAAACACATAAAAAGGCTGATAAACATTGCAGAGCAATGATTCAAACTTGCAGCTAAACCACAGAAATACATCATTTGTTAGTACCTTAACAAGCAAAATTGCTCAGAATCAGCATGCCAAATTCTTTCTTAGGAATTATCTAGTTTATATATGACAGTGATGATAACAACAATAATACAGAGCTCAGTATAATCATAATACACAGTTCAGTCTCAGGCCAGGTCCTCACCACAGATCGGTCTAAGGATATTTAATTAATTTTTTATTAAAATGAATCTAAGTTCAACCAAATTAATTGAAGCTAACTTGGGAAAAGTTATGCCCAGAGAGAGTCATTAACATAACTCACAGTACTAAAAAGTCCTTGAGTTAACCTTTTAGGTAGTTCATCTTTGAAGACATTTTCTTAGTTCATAGGAGCTATTTAAACAGAAATTTTCTTTATACCTCCTTACTTCCCACACGTTATTACTCTGACAACATACTGAATTACTGGTAACATCATCTGCTTGAGAAGAAGATCAACTGTAAGGAGTCCAATGTGCAAAATACCACTTGAAAATTTTTATTCACATAGTTCTTGCATGTCTTAGACCAAAGTAACATGAAAGAAAAAACAGAGTTGTCATTTTTCCAGGAAAAATGTCACATCTGGAAAGTGGAAATGGACTAAAGTGACAGGACAGAGACCTGAAACTACAAGCAGCGATGGTGAAACATGGCATAAACCCACTGAATACCAGAGAGGTACTTTAAAGTATCAGCCTGCTCAAAATCAGTAGAATATACTATAAAGGCCAACAGGTTTAGCAAATTAAAAAGCTCCTTCTTCCCTCACCTCTGGTAAAGCAGAAACAAGTACACAGATTAATTTTAAAGCTCTGGGACAACTGTCAGTTTGAAAAAGTGAAATCCATGTCCTCAAAAAGCCACAATCAGCTGAGATAATCTGCTTAGTGGTCATGAGCCCTGGATATTTTTTACTTGACTAAATCAGACAAATGAATGTCAGGACACTGCAAGAAGCGAAAAATGGCATTTTACAGAAATAATGGATCACAGAAATTGCAATCCTTTGACAGAAAGCTTTGTTCCTATCTTGATCTATAACTCAATTTTCCTCCTTAGAAATGACAGCTCTGCTAGACAACCTTAACCATTGAAGGTATCTGGGAATTCCACACCAGGAAACTGGGGTGTCTAAACGAGTGGTTTTGATACAGCTCTTGATGAGCTATTACCATGAAGCTATCTTCTTGAAAATTTAAGTCTTAAACTTACTCATCAGTAAAACTATAGGCAAATTAAACAATGTCAATAGACATGTGGAAAAATTACAACTACACCTAATAAAACAGTATGGAAGAATAAGCTAGAGAACAAAATCTTCTAAACATCCAAAGAAGCTGGGTAAGTTTACAATAGGCCATTAAAGTGTGTATCTTGCAGTTCTCATCTTAATTGCACTTCCACAGACATGGTGAACACATGTTTCTACACTACTAATAGTCCTTCAGACCCTTTCACCAGCATAGGACACCGCACATCAAAGCAACTTCCTAAACCCACAGCTTTCCTAGAGAATCAATAGGCAAAACTTTCAAAAATTCTTGCTGTTCTCTTAACCAAGAATTTACACTAGCATTAGGAAATAAGCAAGGTGAATGAGACAAAAGATCTGTTCCAAAGCACAGGTGTCTGTCAATCTTTCAGAGAAGTCTATCTATGCTACTTTCATATTGCAAGGACAACAAAAACAACTATTCTAACAGTAACACCCAAAGTGATTCACTTACAGAAAAAGGAGATACGTTTTTGCCTCCAACAAGCAGCTTAGCTGTTTTTCCACCCGAATCTTCCTTTGAAACGTATCTTAAAACATGACAATCTTGCACCTTAAGAAAAGGAAAAGTGTTTATTTGAGTGTGTGCTTTAAGACCATAGTAAGAGATTATTACAACAAGTGAAATTTAGTCAGTCTCTGTTTTCATAACAGAAGATACAGTTTACAAATAGTAAGCTGTAGCGTTTGTTACTTTTTTACTGTAGACATTCTTTTACCAATCAACTAAAGATTGATTTTAGGAAAAAATATTAGTAAAATGCAAACTATTTTCATAAATGCTCTAGAAATCAAATAATCTTTTATAGTCATCTTTTGCATGCAATATCTGCAAAATCCCTTCTGTAAGCTTGCAAAGCATACAGTAAGAGCTGACATTTTAGACTCCTGCTCTTTTGCCCTGCAAACCTGATGTCCTTCATGGCACTGGTTCATCATACGGCAGCAACACGTGAGCAAAAGGCTTCATGACAATAGTAGCTGCCAGAGAATATGAAGCAGCAGCTTCAGGGCTACAAAGGCTCAGAAACCAAGGTGAAACTAATCACAAAGTACCTGCAGGTGGCAAAATAAAAAAAGTTAAGTGGGTAGTTAACCCCAGCTTTATGTTGCCTCACCTAGGTAACACTGCTCACAACTCTGCAGCACCTGAATAGCTAAGGCAGAAGGCAGACTGCTCCCAGAAAGTTCGGGATATAAACAGAGTGGGTGTGGTGTACTATCCACGACCAAAAGAAGCCTTTTCTTTCTTTCGGGATTTCCTACTCTGTACAAGTAATAACTTTTGCTTTTGACTGAAATGTCTGGCTAACAATCGGAATACAGGACAGGAGATGAAATTCATTATGATTTATTTCACCTTAAGTAATGTGACAGCATGTCTTTTTCCTGACTTGGTCCATACTGGCATCATTCCCAGTTTTACTGCAACAACACCGACTCTGATAGAATCTGTAGATTAAAACAGAACAGGAATGCAACTCCATACTTAATCTTCGAAAGAGTTCATTTCATAACTTGCAAAATCCCATTCATTAACTCTGATCTTTCCTAAGGAGGTGAAGGAGAGAAAACTTCACTGACTCCCCATGACTAGGCTGAGAATAACCTGTTAATTGTTTTTAATCCCACTAGCAGTGAAGTTCTATCTGTTCCAGTTGTGTATGATAGAACATGCAACCAGTTCCCCATTAAAAGAACCAATATTTCAGACTCCCTTAATTTTTTCTTTAAATACAACACCCATATATTAGAATCAAGCTAACTATTGAAAAGAGGTTCCTCCCACCCAATCTTTGCAAACCTGTATAGCAAAGGCAACATGTCAAGTCTGCCATCCAAATGATGTGACCCTTTTGGAGGCTCAAAAACTTAATACTGTGTTCCAGACCATAAAACTTTGGAATCACAGAAATGGGAGGTATTATATACCACACTTTTTCTTCAGAGTCCAGCAGTATTTACAAGAATGTTTTCAAGTTCATATACTTTACATTCTAAGGAGTCTTTTTTGACAAATTTTTACTTTATTATCTTGTCATTGTACAGCAGTTAAATAGGCCAAGTGCTAAAAACTAAGAGTTCTTAAAGGGTTCTTAACACCGCGTAATATTTTGAATGCTTTTTAGAGAACTGATGTATTACATTTACTTATTTACTAAATGTATTGAATGACTGATGTAAAAGCAAAAAGGAGAATACTTTACAAGGCACAATCCTGATGCTACTGAATGCAACAACACAACAACAGTAATAATTTCAGCACGAGTTTGGTATTTCAGAAGAGATACTTTCTCACCTGGTGTCCACTCATTCAGTGGCCAAGGCTCATCTTTCAGAGGGCAGAGCTTGCTGGCTGTCTGAGCTTTGTATTCTTCCGCAGTTATCTTCTTCAGGAACTCCACATTCTCTTCAGAAAGATGCTCGTGCCACCACGTTGCACTATTAGTGTGCCTGACTAGAAAGCCCAGCTGTCCCCTTTCCAGTGGTGGGAAAAAAGTTTTAAGTGTCTTATCAGTTCAAATAATGTCTTGTGACACGTATGTTTGCAATGTAATGAATGATACAAATCATTACATGACACAGCATACAGTCATAAAGACCAAAATCATACTACCAAGGTGGTCAACCACCATCACTCAAACTGGCCACTCATGGCCAAAACCACCTACTTCTTTGTCATGTTCTCATCTAACTTTTGAAGTATTCTTAAGTGCACCAAAGGGGAGCAAGCAACAACAAAAAACCAACCACTTCTTAGGATAAAAAAAAGCTAAGATTCATGAATGAGAAAATAGCAGTGGGTGTCTTTAACTTTAGCAAGGCTTTCTAACACCATCTCCTGTAGTGTCTTTCTATCCAAGCTGGGATATTATGGCATGGATGGGTGGGCTATCAGATGGCAAAAACCTGGCTGGATCAGCTGACTGAATGAGCCATGGCTAGTGGTTTGGACTATTAGAAGGCCAGTTACAAACAGAGTTCCTCAAGTGTCTATTCAGGGATTTGTCCAATTTAATATCTTTATCAATGACCTGTAAGAGGAGATGAGTGCACCCTTCTTAAGTTTGAAGGGAGCAGTGGATGACACTCAAGGGTGTCCCTCTGCCAGTCAGAGAAACAAGCCAACGAGGAACCCAATGAAATTCATAAAGAAGAAATGCACAGTCCCATCCACAACTGGGATGGAATAACCTCTTGCGAGAGTACAGGCTGTGACCTCAGCAGAGCTGCTCCCCAGATAGGCCAAGGACCTGGAAGCTCCTGGGGGCAAAAAGGTAAACAAGGAGCCAGCAGGCTCCTCACAGCAATGAAGACTAACAGCAGCCTGGACTTTATCAACAGAAGCACAGTCAGGAGATCAAGGCAAGCACTCACCCTTTCCTCAGCACTCCAAATAGACCACATCTGCAATACTAAATCCAGTTTCAGGTCCCCAGTACAAATGGGATGTTTACAAATGAGTGAATCCAGCTGTGGTATACAAAAATACCAGGGGCTAGGGCACCTGCCCTACCAGAAGGTAACTGGGTTTGGTTTAGTCTGGAGAAAAGGTGGCCTAGGGTTGACCTGACAGCAGCTTTCCAATGCCTGTGAGAAAGTCACTGACAAGACAGAAGCAGGTGATATTCACTAAGGTGCACGCAAAAGAATGAGAGAAGGAGTATAAACTGAAAAGGGGGATTCTGATTTGACGTAGGGAAAAAATGTTTTGCCTGAAGACAATCAAACAGAGAGGCTGTACAGCCTCTGTCCTTAGAGGCTCTAAAGGCCCAAAAAGAGAAAGCCCTGTGCAACACGGTCTAACCTCAGAGCTGGCCACACTGTGAGAAGGAAGCTAGACCTCAGCTTTGAACTGAGCTGCTCAGCTCCCTTCCAGCCCCAACAATCTCTGGTTCTACACTCACCGCTAAACAGCTCAGGGTCCTGCCTTAATTTCCGTGAAGGCTCAGAAAAGCCAGAATGCTCCCCAGTTCTCTTCAAGGACAGCGAGGTGCAGTGTTTAACAACACAAGCAGTGACCGCACGGGGCCAGGCCAAGGAAACCCAAAACACAGTAGGTCAAGTCTCTCACTATGCAGCAAAGATGCTCTGGATGTAAACATGCCTGTCCTGCCAGAACTCCCACACAGGCTGGGGGTATTTCTAAGGCTGGGGGCATTTCTAAGGCCGAAGGGGTCCAGCAGTAACCCGGAGCACCACCACCCCTGCACTCACAAAGCAGCGCCAGCAGGCTGCACAAAGAGGCCTCTCCAAGGGGTGGCGACCCAAGACGCCACCGAGGGCAAAGGGCCGCCGAGGAGCCCCTCACCTCTGGGCTGCGATAAGGGCCGAGCCACGCTCAGCCCCCGCTCCTTCCGCCGCCCCTGCCCCGCGCCCCACCTCCGCAGGAGCCCCTTCCCCTCCCAGCCCTGCCGCTACCTGTGGCCGGGAGCCCTCGACGCGGCCGCCAAGAGCTGCCCGCCGAGCCTCGCCAGCCTCCCCCAGCCCGCCATGCCGACACCGGGGCGGGGCCACCGTCGCCTTCCGCGTACGGCGCTGCAAACCTTCCGTGCTGACCCGGACAGAAGGTTCCGGCCCGCGCAGGCGGGGAGCTCGAGAGTTAACATAAAAACTCCCGAAACAGTCCGAAGTCGTAGTCGTGCGTCATTTTCTCCCCCCCACGGCTGGCCCCAGCGGCTTCCCAGACGGGATGCAGCACCCGAGGCGCATGGGGCTGTTCTGACCCGGAGGGAACGCCTCACCCAAGAGGGTGACGAATGAAGACGTGCAGAAATAGCCATAGGCACCCTTTGTCTCCCGCCCCAACCCTTCCATCCCTACCATTGCTCCTGTGCCTGAATTCCTTCAGCGAGCCAGTGAAATCCAGCAAATAAGTGTCAGTAAGGGGAAAGTGCCAGCGGCAGGTGGAGTTTTACTGCTGGTGAGCACCACTTGGCCACAAAAGGTTGCAGGAACACGGACTCAAAACCTTCCTGCATTACACAGGTGTTGAGCAGATGCTTGGGGGTGTCTGGGAAAAAGCGTCTCTGCTGTGTCAAATATCTATGAGGTATGGAGCTTAGCAGCTTCGTGTGTTTTCTCCCAGGTAACAAGTGACAGGACAAGACAAAACGGGCCTCAGGCTGTGCCAGGGTAAGTTCAGGTTGGATATTGGGAAAAATTTCTTCATGGAAAGGGTGGTTAAGCCTGCCTAGAGAAGTGGTGGAATCACTATCCCTGGAAGTGTTCAAAAACCATGTAGATGTGGCACTTAAGGACATGGTTTAGTGATGGACCTGTCAGTGCTGGGTTAGCTCCATGATGTTGGAGGTCTTTCCCAACCTTAATGATTCTAGACTCAATGATTCTCTGTGCTCCATGCGAGTGGAGGCCACATGAGGGGGAGGGCCACATTTAGGGAAGTAAATTTAATATTGTAGCCAGTGAAAGTTACTGGTAAAGTGGGTGGCTCAGGCAGCAGGTTTCTGGGCAGCCAGGCACAGCGATGACATTCTGGCTGGTAGGATAGTGAAGGGGTATGAACACAAGATTCCCTTTCAGTTTCAATAGAAGTCTCTTTTTTTTTAAAGACATGAGTGTTCAGTGTGGTCAGCTGACATCTGTTATGGCTTCTCTTTACCCTGCTACCCCCTCTTCTCCCCCACTGTGCTCTCTGTGTGTGTATGTGTGTATGTTGCACTTCAGGCTTGTGGCCAGCTAACCAGATCCGAGAGAGGCTGTATGCACCTCTCAGTGGTTAACTTTGAGCAGAATTTTGCAGTTCACACCCAAAAATGTGATCCAGAAAACTACCAGCAGCCTACATAAACATCCCTTGTCCCATGTTTACTTCTTGTCCTTTTAAGACATAAACACATAGTGTGTTCAGAAATGCATCTCCCAAGTTCACAGTTCAATGGATATTTCCTCTCTGAGGTTGTCATCTCCACTATCACAGTGATCACTGCATCTTTTCACTCTCTCCCTGGCATTAAGAACAGCAACAGGGATGTTGCTAAATTTAATGCAGATGTGCTTTCTAATGGGGTCCATCAGTAGCTTATGCTGCTGCTCTGTATCGGGGGAAGAATGAACCTAAAAATGATAAAGGTGTTAACTCCCAATTTGTATGCACTGTGACAACCTACAACAGTCCTTACCCTACCAAAGTCCCCGGGAACTAGCAAAATGCTATTTGCTTCCATTTTAAAGATGTGGAACCAAGGCACACAACAAGATTAAGTGATTTGCCAAGCCATAACAGATGTTCCCAGCCAGAGAGGAGGGCTCCCTTGATGCCCTCACCTGAAGCCACAGTATAATGCTTTTCTCATGTAGCATGCTGCACAGCTGAGGTGACACAGGATTTCATGCATTGGTAAGTTGGAAAGCAATACATGGGCAAACATACATTTTGGAGAAATAAGTTTTAGTGCTGTACTTCTTTTCTCCTTTTTAACATTATGTAAAATCAAATAATTTTTTTTTTTTGGTGCATGCAGCTTTTCATGATGTTAAAGAGGCATGAACTTTGTGTGTGTAGGGGGGAGTGGGTGTAGCAAGATGACTGCAACTTTGAATGCAATCAGATGGCAAACTGCTTGCTCTAATCAGTGGGACAAGAATTTAAGTGTCTCCTGAACACAACAGCAAAAGACTTTCTGCAAAGCAGTTAAAATGACTAGCACCTTTTTGGAAGGAAAGAAGAGAATGAAACATTACAAAATAACCCTCCCCCCCAGTCTGCTGCCTTGGGTAGTCCTCCTAATGGCAGGAATGAGGAAATGGAAACACTTTTGGACTGGCAGCCTTCCCAGGAGAGAGGTCACCTAGGTTTCACCTGATCAGTTTGGAGGATCTCCCCAGCTCTGCAAGGAAATTGGAAAAAAGAGAAAAGAGGGGGTGGGCATGCAGCCCATTGATGGTTTGCAGTGAATGCTGCAAGAAAACATGCAGCTGGGCTGACTATTATCATTCATATAACTCTAATTGCTGAAATTGCCTCTGCTATAGTTCAATTCTTCAGCCCAGGACTGCACATACAAGTAAGACCTATGAGTGAAGGATGAATGGTGATATAAACTCTATATTCCTTGTGGCAAAATGGCACTTCCCATAAATAAAGGAAAAAAACCAACTTGAGAAGTGTAAACCTATGCTAGGAATCCTCCGGCTTATCCTTCCTATTAAAAAAAAAAAAAAGTGAATGTAAATGTACCAGTGCTTTGTGGCTGAAATGTCCATGCTACTTAGGAGTAAATGGAGTTTGTCTAGTAACTCCTTCATGCCGGAAAGACTGGACATATGTTTAGATTTACATAGGAGTTATGACTGAAAGACCCATAATCCCAGGTGACGAATATCAATCTGAATAACAAGCTGAGTTCTTTCTGGGAGTTAGCCATGACTTGTTTGAGCAGCCAGAGAGCCAGACTGAAGGAAGTAGCTCTGTTTAACTCACCAGCAAAGAACTTAGTGCAATACAATAATGAAGCTCACTTAAACCACATGGAATATTTGGTGTGTGGGTAAACCTGAGGGATGCAGTTGAGTATTGCAGAGCTGCAGGGCTTTTGTCACACAAATCTGCACAGAACTGGAGTCTTTCACCTGTGTGTTTGTTGGAATATCACCTCTGCAACCTGCAGCAAGACTTGGCTTCGACCACTGTTCTCCATTGCCCGCTGCATGTCTCTAACAGATCAAAGTTTAAACCTTTCAGCTGTCATCACTTATAGGCTTTTGATATTTGGAGACTGTTTAAAAGATGTTTTAAAACAATACTATTATTATAATTTTGTTTTTCTTTCATACTTGTAGACTCTTTCATCAAGTTCTATAGAACACTGTATTGCGTATCACGGTAAGACCTTCACATGGATAGATTTTTCCTTAGGGTAATAAGCGTTTGGCAGTGTATAACTGCTTTTAAAAAATTGTTGTAGACTTAGTTTTCCCTAAAAAACCAAAAATACAACTCAGTTCAGTATCTGGCTCAAGAATAATAGATGTTAATGTATTTTGGGATAATAGGGTTTATGAATATCTTTGGGTTTTCTGGGACTTCTAGAGTTTGAATTGGGTTTGAGAGACAGTAAAAAGGAAGGCAGGATTACAGTTGGCAGAGAAGATATTTTAGATCATCAATTATCTCAAAAGGACAAGATATAATTTATTTTAAAGGAGTTTTCAGAATTTAAAACAATCCATCAAGAGGCAGTAGAAGTTTAAGTTTGCACTAAAAAATCTGCAGGAGAAACTGATGGCAGTTCAGCCTAAAGGCAGAATCGCCTCGCCAAAACCCTAAGTAGGTAAAACAGGAGAAAAATATGCTGTTTCAGAGATATATTCATATACTTAATGATATTACCCTGGAAAAAGTCCATACTATTTTATTGCACAGAGTAGCTTGGAGCAACGAAAATAACATTCAAAGCCTCATTAGAAAGCCTTTACCATATGGCTACTTTTGTCTTCTGTGCATCCTACACCACCAACTCACCACACTATTTCTTGATTGTTTGACATACTGAGATCTGTATAGATTGAAGGAGATTTCCAATTGATTTTTCAATATCGTGGAGGTGTCTCCCCAAATACCTGGAGGGCTGCTACAGAATTGCTGACCTATATTAAGCACTGATAATGATTTGTTTTTAAGTAGACAACATTTATAATCAGGATTGTGTGACGTAAACAGAAAGATCTGCAGCAACTGGGATTCTCTTGAGGCACTTATAGAGACCAACTACACACATGAAAATGACTGATGGTTTATACAGCTCAGCATACAATAACCTGTTGATCTCTGTGTTTTATGTGATGCTACATTATAGAAGCACCTTGTAACACCTCTGCTAATGAAGAGCTGTAACTGCCCAATTCTGTGTAATCATAAACACTTAAAAAATCAGTTTAGTCAAAGATCATATGTACCAGAAGAACAATTTATCTGAATCCTAATTTTTCCTTGCTGAAAGCTTTCGTTTACTTTCACAGTCTGGCAAATAATAAAAAAGAGGCTTGACCCTTCCATGGCTGTACATTACATCCCTAAATGCACATCCCAGGGTAAAGTAATACTCTTTACATGGTGAGAGCACCATCATGCCTCTGAGGGTCTCAAATCACTTTTCAAATATTGAACTCCCCCAGTATTATTGTGAGATATTTATGAATACATGGCAGTGACCTTCATTTTACAAATGAGGAATCTGAGGTGCAGAATAGTTAAACAACTTGGCCAAGATTACAAAGTAATATATTGGGGGAGCAAAGAACATGAAGTCATTGATTTGTCAGTCATGTGCTTTAATGGCTCAAAAATGGTTGTGAGAATAGGGAAGGGAAGGAAAGAAAAGGAAGGGGGAAATGGGAGTAAGAAAATCAAGATGTTGTAGACTAGAATTAAGATTTGTTGACAGAGTGGTATACGAGATATAAAGGAAGATTGCAGTAGCTTCCAGATGAAATACATCCACCACAGAGGGAGGGTAAGCTCTCAAATGAAGTACCAGCCATTACGTG